TTATAAATATGCAGCTTTTCACTTCACAAGACATTAACTGCTGGACTGGAGTGGATTACTTGTGGATTATTGTGATGTTTTTCTCAGCTGTTTGGACTCTCATTCTGACGGCACCCATTCACTACAGAGGATCCATTGCTGAGTAAGTGATGCAATGCTAACTTTCTCCAAATCTGAAAAATCATTGCAAATATATCATAATTATTCATTATGTCAACTAGCCTTACTACATTACTTCACTTATTAATTCTCTTTAACATTCGAAGTGTACTTTGTAAATATTTACAATAGTAATTCTAACAAAACAGCCAATATTCATTCCTAAATGGAAGAGTTTGCTTTAAGAGCCTCTTTCTGCCTTTCACAGACCATCATCACGATTCCCACAACACAGAAGGAAGAAGCGTAAAGAGATGGATGACGGTCTGGCAGACACCAACCAGAACAAACAAAGTAAGAGCTAGATCCCGAAAGCCACAGTTTTTTACGCCTTGTATGCCTCTCCCATTTCGGGAAATTAACACCCAGCACCAGCCAAATTTGGTTATTTTGTTTTCACAGTGGCAGGTCATTTTATCTTATCTACTATCAGCTGCTGTGGCTGGCAGCTACTTACATTGGTCTTTGTTTTATTTTAAAATTGTGTGTATTTAATAACCAAGTAAGGGAAAGCGCAAATAGTGATGTATATTTTGAATTTAGGTACATTTGAAATGAATGGCACAAAGTGCAGAATTTGAATTCTCCCTGTGTATATAAGCAATTTTGTATCTGACAGATAAGTAAAATGTTTGATCATTTCTGAGAAACACCATTGGGTTTTCATATCATTCAGCATGTGTGGTGATTGAGGGAGTTTTTTTTCAAGCCAAGGTTTAGAGAAATAAATAGAAGGGTTTTTTTTTAGTCTTGATCTCATAAGACCCATTTCCTGTTTTCTTACGTGCTCCACGTCTCATCTTCTCCATCAGATGCTTATGTTATCAAGTTATTTGACCGCAGTGTGGACTTGGCTCAGTTCAGCACCACCACGCCACTTTATCCCATTTGTCGGGCGTGGATGAGAAATAACCCATCAACGCGAGAGAGAACGGAGCCCAGCCCCCCTCACAGCTCCGGGGAGGATGAGGTCACACCCAGCATTCACTTTGCAATAATTTTAAATACTCATCCCGTTCAGATCGTTGAACTACTCAGAATAACACAGTTGTTTCACAGTCTATATAACTGCACTTGGAAATCTAGTGTTGATTTTCAAAGATGGACGTGTTCCAAGTTAAACACAAGATAAACAGAAAATGACAAACGAAAACATGCTTCCAGTAATGAACTTAAAATGGAAGTCAGGTTGGCCACTATTCTATTTTTGTTAGAGCACAGCACATACATTGTGCATTAACATTTTATTTGTTTAAAATGTTTACAGTTTTCTAAATAACATTTTGGAAGTGGGACTATTTTTGTTGGTGGATGAGTCTCTGTTTATATAACAATGAAATTCCTTGTAACAGGAAGTTCCCACAGTCCTAGAAATACCAGGGATTACCAGTGTGATTTCCAGACCTGGAATAGTCATTTAAATTTCTACAGTCAATATGCATTTTAGTAGATAGGCTCAGTGGTTCTTCAGGTAGATCTCTATAAAATAATTTTGAACTAATTATCATGGGATCAAATGACTTGAAAAGTCAAGTGTGGGACCCCTGATGTAAACAGATAGTTATGTCAAGAACCCTTACATGTGTTTATTTTAATGTTTATTCCAGTGCTTGTTGCACTATAGACCAGGCTTGTTAAAGTTGACTAGAACAACAACAATTAGATGTAAACCATTAATATATATATATATATATATATATACAGTGGGTACGGAAAGTATTCAGACCCCCTTAAATTTTTCACTCTTTGTTATATTGCAGCCATTTGCTAAAATCATTTAAGTTAATTTTTTTTCCTCATTAATGTACACACAGCACCCCATATTGACAGAAAAACACAGAATTGTTGACATCTTTGCAGATTTATTAAAAAAGAAAAACTGAAAAATGCTCAGTATTTAGTAGAAGCACCCTCTTGATCTAATACAGCCATGAGTCTTTTTGGGAAAGATCCAACAAGTTTTTCACACCTGGATTTGGCGATCCTCTGCCATTCCTCCTTGCAGATCCTCTCCAGTTCTGTCATATATATATATATATATATAAACAAACATTAACTGAAATCAAATATTTCAGGTAGTCACCAAGGCTACATTTCTCATTTTAATTTAGTTAACTTGATATACTAAATAACTAAATCTAAAACTGAAATAAAAATTAATTTAAAAAAAAAACATATGTACATATAGACAAAAAATGACAAAAACACAGTAAAATTATGAAAACTAAAATTAAACTGAAAGTTAAAATTAAAAATTTTGATCAAAACTATAATAGTATTTCAGTGATACTAAAATAACACTGCTATTGTCTTTCTTTGCAAGTGAATTGCTGTAAAAGCACATTTTCCCCCAAAATCATTATCTTTGTAAATCATGTTAGGCAGCTTAAGTTTTATTCAACTTGGCACGCTCATTTAAGGTTCGGTTGGCTCACTTCATTTTTCTCTAGTCGTAGTTTGACCTTGAATCATAAGAAGAATAAAAACGAATGTCTTGGCCCACTGTAGCATAATATATTACATAACTGACAAGTAACCTTTTAATAGTAAAGCTCTCAACAGCTTAATAATGCTGCTACATCCGGCTTCAATTTCCCATCTGAATTCAATTACCCAGTGGAGAAATAACATGCACCTCTTCCCTCTAAATATGCCTCGAAGGCTCCTTGCACCACTGAGAATTGTTCTTGGCTTTACTTGTTTAAAAAAATTATATAATGAGTAATTTGTGCCAAAAACAAGCATTAAAATGGGGGGAAATTGCTCTTCAATTCTTAATCTTTCAGATGACTGATATGCTGAACGGCAAAGGACAGAACGTGTACAGGCTTCCTCCACCTGTTTCCTGTCCAGTAGGTTCAGCTGGTGAACCTGTCAATCTCAGAATTCCACCTGTAGAGAAACCTACAGAGAGCCAGGTGAGCTATGGCAACTGTTGTGCCACACACAGTCTACAGGAAGCACTAATCTTTCTTTAAAGATCTGCATTTAAGCAAACTGCTAAGTGACAGAAGATAACGTTTCCATCAAACACCTCTGCTTAAGTGTTAACCAATCGTTGTTAGGAATGTGATAAGTAAACCTGTTTGCATACCGAATTGGTTGGTCTTGTCATCCTTTAAGTTTGTAATATGAATGTAGCTAAATTGAATGCTTCGTGTGGTCGTATCTAATTCGGTTCTGTAAGATCTTTTTATTTTTTTTTCAGTCTGTAGATGCTGCAGCAGGCACCTCACCTCTTATCTTCAGTCACATCAAACGCTGGAAGAAAATTAGACAGAAGTATAATTTTTCATCATTCTATCATTTCTACTATAATTACAGAGGGAGGGGGATACAAATTACATCATGTATATGATATTTATAATTTTTTTCATATATGTTAAAGGTGGAAGGAGGCCTCCAGTAAGAACCAGCTGAGATACAGCGAGAGCATAAAAATCCTTAAGGAAATGTATGAACGTTAGTTCACATACATCACTACTAGTGCATCTGAAGAAAATCTGCTTAGGGAATGAAACAAAGATGTCCAGGCATGAAGCCTTCAAGGAGAGTGAAATAACCCAAAATTTTTTATTGAATAATAACTAAATAATTTTGTAATGTCTTTATTTTTCTCTAAATGCAAGCTCACAAGAACTTCAAATAAATCTACAGTACTGAAAATGAATTTGATGTGTTTATTGAATAAAACTGCATTAATGAATTCTTCATGATAGTTCTCAGCCATTTCCAACGTGCAACACTCAATATTTGTCTAGCATCTAACTTTGCATGTGTAACCATCTGGCTCTGATATAACACACTGTGGAACTGTACAACCAATGAGAAACATTTATGGGTAAATGCAGTGTGTATCTATTAAATGCTTTAGATGTATTTCCAAGCCACACTTTAACACCAACAAATCCCATTCAAGCTTTATGACATTTTTATTTAGAATAAAGATTAGTAAAAAAAAAAAAGAAAAAGAGAGGTGCAATTTAATAAGGGGTATGATAACGTCCATGTACAGACGATAACGTCATGTTTATTCTAAATGCGTGTTAAATGTGTGAAGCAGCTCACAAGGCATTTTTAAACCAAGCGACGAATTTGCGCGACCAACTGAACCAGATATGAAATCTGTGTGCGAAAATGCGAAATGTTCTATTGTGTGGACTTTAGCCCACGAAAATTCAATGGTAAATGTCATCGCACCTTTAGAGTTACAGTTTTTAAAACTTATGGCATTAATTTCATGCCTTTTCTATCACCGTCGACTCGCGCTCTTTTGTTTACCGCAAAACCGCGGTCATTGCTTTTTTGTCCCATAGGCTATATCATCAGCTTTAATCGTTAACCATTATCTTTATAATGCAAAATTTGAATAAGCCTGCGTACCAGAAATTCTATTTTATTTATTATTTGATTCTTATTATTTGATATAATAAGATTATTATCCTTCAATAAGAATTTGCTACTGTGAGAGTAGGCTAATATCCTTAAGGAAATAACCATCAAATGCAGGTAAACATTTTTTGATACACTGTGGTTTTATTCAGAATAAAGTTCAAACTGAAATCAGCATAACAAACTGAGATTTCGCATATTTGGAGTCATGACAATTTTTCATAAACATATAATGTTCCCATTTTCATATATTTGAAGAGACTTTTTCTATTTGGTTTTACAACACAAATTATACACAGTCATGCCTCAAAACGTTTTTTACAAACAATTTTTTGACAAGTCGCTAGGTAAGGACTATAAACATACTGGATTAGATCCAGGTTGTTGTAATGGTGATAAACATATAGTGATGCCAGTCACAATCATTTAGAGACTACATAACTAACAATTCAAGTTTGGTTTTCATGTCCTGCACGTCCTTTTGCGTCTGCCTTAAAGTCCAGATGATCCTCCGCAAAAGCCGTCTCCAGCAGCAGAGACTGTTTAAGCTTCTTCTTATACTCATCACACATGAACACATAGAGAATGGGGTTCAGACAGCTGTTTAGATAAACCAGGTAGATACTGACAGTCCTTGCTATCACAAGTACTGGTTGATCACTTTTTACTGCAGTTATTGTACACAAATTGCAAGCATGGTATGGAAACCAACATAAGAAAAAAGCCAGGATTATGGTTATAATAACCCGGAATGACCTGAGCTGCTTTACCCTTTTGAGGCGTTTGATTCGTACTCCAATAGCTATGTATGAAGTTGCAATGATCAGAAAGGGGATGAGGAAGCCCACTGTAAATTCATATGTGATCAGAGACACACGAGTAAACATATGAACATTAAAGAAAGGAATGCTGCAGCCTATGGATGAAACCCACACAATTATGCAGATGATTTTGGCTTTAAGAGAAGTTCGTTTATTTTGAGCCCAAACAACCATCCATGTGCACAGGCATCGGTCCAGACTAATGACTACAAGAAAAAAAATACTAGCAAACAGATTTAGTGTTAATGTCATGAAGAAAATGTGAGTCATTAATTGACTCTGCCACTGGCCCAAAGCTGAGAGAAGATCTATGATTGAAGACAACATGAAGATGAAGTCTGCAATCGCCAAGTTGAGAAACCAAATGGAGTTGACAGTCGTCTTCATTCTGCAGCCAGTCAGAAATATGACAAGCCCATTTCCAATGAGACCCACTACAAAGGTGGCAATGAAAATGCATGAAAGAAAGACATTAAAGCTCATAAAGCCCTCATGCTGCATTGTGGTATTATGTGTTGAGTCTCCGGTCATGTTTTCAGCTCCAAAACGGGTGCCTTCTGCACAGAGAAAAAAGAGAGAGAAAACACAGTGAAGGCTGATTTTGGGTCTGTTTTGGCCATTACTGTGGCAATTACTATGGCAATACCAGATATTGACCAGTGTTTGAACAAACAGATTTGTGACCCTGGACCACAAAACCAGTCCTAAGGGTCAATTTTTTTAAAATTATGATTTATACATCATCTGAAAGCTGAAAAAATAAGCTTGTTAGGATAGGACAATATTTGGCCGAGATACAACTATTTGAAAATCTGGAATCTGAGGGTGCAAACAAATCTAAATATTGAGAAAATCACTTTTAAAGTTGTCGAAATGAAGTCCTTAGCAATGCATATTACTAATGATAATAAATTTTTTATATATTTACAGTAGCAAATTTACAAAATATCTTCATGAAACATGATCTTTACTTAATATCCTAATGATTTTTGGCATAAAAGAAAAATCGATAAGTTTGACACATACAATGTATTTTTGGCTATTGCTACAAATATACTCGTGATACTTATGAGTGGGTTTGTGGTCCAGGGTCACATTTGATTTTATAACTTGATTTTTTTATGAGAAAAATTTGTGAAATATGTTTTTATGAGTGAAATATGAAATGTAATGTAATGATGCACAGTTAGGTCCACAGAAATAGCTGAATATTGAAAAAAATGAGCTGTACCAAATCAAGACTTTTTTAATGTGTTTGCAGTGTAAACGTGGTTAGGTGCAATAAATAATACCAATCACAATTCAGAATGCAAACAGATTTTAGGCAAGGCAAGGCAATTTTATTTCTAGAGCACATTTAAAACAGCAGCTGCTGACCAAAGTGCTGTACAATCTGAAAATTGTTACACAAAACAGTTAAGCACAGTTACATAAACATACATATTAAAGAGAATTACAATGATCGAAAAGCCAGAGAGAAGAGATACGTCTTCAATGAAGATTTCAAACTTCCAACATCAGGAGACAACCTAATATGTGCCGGTAACTCATTCCACAATTGAGGGGCAGCAATTGAAAAGGCACAATTTCCTTTTAACCTTAGATGAGACCGAGGCACAGACAACATCAAACTATTAGAAGACCTTAAGGGTTTAGGGCAATTCCGATGGAGAAGAAAAACTGTAATGTATTCAGGAGCCTGATCGTTTAATCCCTTGTAGACAAACAATACAACCTTAAATTTAATGCGATATTCAACTGGCAACCAATGAAGTGAAGCCAGAACAGGCGAAATATGTTCCCTCTTTCTAGTCCGAGTAAGGAACCTGGCAGCAGCATGTTGTATCAATTGCAGACGGGATAAGGAAGACTTAGACACACCAAGGTACAGTGAGTTACAATAGTCGAACCTCAGAATCAGAATCAGAATCAGAATGAGCTTTATTGCCAGGTATGTTTACACATACGAGGAATTTGTTTTCGTGACAGAAGCTTCCACAGTGTAACAGAATGACAGTGACAGAACAAAAAACACACAGATAATAAAAAATAAAAATAAAAAATAAATAAAAAATAGAACAAGTAAAATAAGGAATAAAAAATATACAAATCGACAATTGTATGTACAGGTATATAACAATAGACAGTTGTATGTACAGGTATATTATGTGCAAATTGAAACCTGGAGGTAATAAAAGCATGGATCACAGTCTCCGTGTCACAATCACTCCTAAAATGTTTACATGTCCATGAGAATTCACAGATAAAAAGCCCAATTGATTATTAATCTGCGTAATAGAGGCTGGTGGACCAAAAACTACAATTTCAGTTTTAGAATCATTCAGTGTTAAAAAATTGGCAGCCAGCCAAGACCTAACCTAATCTAAACTATCTAATCATTATGTTTCAAAGGGAGATAGATCTGAGTATCATCACCATAAAAATGTTAAGGTATGTTATGCTTCTGAAAAATAAGACCTAGAGGGAGCAGATAAAGTAAAAACAGAAGCGGGCACAAAATTGATCCCTGAGGCACACCACAAATTAAAGGAGCAAAAGAGGAAGAAAAATTTCCAACCTCCACCGAAGTGATAGGATTTAAACCAATCCAATGTGGAACCTTGAATTCCTACACAAATTCTGAGCCTTTCAAGTAAGTAAGTATTTTAGAAAGAAGTCCAAAGATCTGTGTGCACTGATTGTATCTTAAACAGTTTTACTATGTTCTGAGAGATGTTTAAAAAACCTGTGATATGACTAATATACATATTCAGTTCTTACCCATTTTTTGAGCTGTTGATGTACTGAGACAAGCCGAGTCTTGATCTTGCTCTGTCTTCTCGGTCCTGTTGACAGATTATTGTTTTTATACCAGACAGCAAAGCCTGGTACTACATCCCTATAGGCTGATTTGTTGTTTTTACTGAAAAGGGGCAAAAATGTGGCGTCATCATCACTCTTGATGAAATGATTGAATCTGTAGCTGGTACCACAGTGGGCATGTACCTACAACAGAGTCTTTCCTGCCACACTGGAATGTTCCTGTAAATCAAACAGTAAAGCATACTAGGATTGAATTCAAATGCATTAACTAATAAAGATGCATTGTAAGTTGTTTTGGACAAAAGTGTCTGCCAAATGTAAAATGCATAATTTTATTTTGTTTCAGTGATTAAACTGAAAGTCACAAGAATAGTATGTTTTGATACAATGGTTATGTGACGTAAAGCATTCAGAGTGTTTTACCCATCTACCCATACCTGTGTAACAGTCTGACCCAAGCCACACTTTAACACCAAAACAACCCATTCAAGGTTTCTGACACATGAGCACATAGAGAATGGGGTTCAGACAGCTGTTCAACATGATCAGGCATTCAGCTATTGCTGTACTTGATAATACTCCCCAACAACTTTCAAACCACTTATTCTCAGCTGCAATTACCATATAAATGCAACAAACATAATAAGGAAGCCAGCATACGAAAAAGGCCAGGACCACAGCGATGACCCGAAAAGCCCTGAACTGTTTTTTTTCTTTTAGGTTGTTTGACTCGTACTGCAATAGCTATATGAAGATGCAATTATTAGGAAGGGGAGAAGGAAGCCCGCCATAAACACAAATATGACCAGATGTTTCAGTGATTTTATGTTCATGGTAACCTGTTTATGGTTCATGGTTATTAAGGCAAAAAGAAGGCTGCAACCAGTGGATGAAATCCACACAATCATGCAAATTATCCTGGTTTTGGCTAGAGTTATTTTATTTTTAGCCCATGTGCGCAGGCATCGGTCCAGACTGATAACGCTTGGAAAAAAATGCTTGCAAACATATTTGTTGCAGCTGCGTCACAACAAAAATAAAGAACCCTGCAAATGAAGTTGTTGAAGTGGTGTTCTCCAAAGTACGAACTGATGTTTAGGACTGGAAAAAAGATAAAGAAGAAGTCTGCAACTGCCAAGTTGAGAAACCAAATGGCGTTTACCGACTTCTTCATTTTATAATCAGTCATGTTAAGGCATGTACCCAAGACTCCATATACCAACATGCCAGCCGATAGTGTGGTAGAATTATGTGTGATGATTTTGGTTATATTTTCCACATTTCCCAAGCACACTACACAAAGAGAGAAAATGCAATGAAGGCAACAAACTACATAAAATACAATCAACTTATAGCTACTTTAACACCTTAAAGGTTGGATACATTTAAATAATAACAAAGAAGTATATGTATTTGGGTGAAACAATGTTTAATCTGTATTTTAAATATGATGTTCAATTTATTCATACACATTAACCCAATCCCAAGATATATATATATATATATATATTTAAATTCAAAGACATTCCAAATTTAAATATCACATTGAAAACATTGGATATGTAAATACTACTACCCCTCCTCCTACTACTAATAAAAAATCTCACAAAATGATGCTCTCTCTTTGAGACTGCATTTCCACATTTATGCTGTAATTGCTAAATTTTGAGAGGTGTTTAACGAATGTTTCTGATTGATTCTTACTGATTTCTTAAGGTTTGTTGTTAATCCACAATAGCTTCTTTGCACGTTCCTTCCTAACTTTAGTGTTCATGCAGAGGTGCGTCTGAACGGGACGAGTGTTTCTGTGCAAATCTCCTTGATCTTTGTCAAGCTTTAGCTTTAGCTTTATATAAGCAGTGAATCTTTATATCCTTATAGGCTGAGTTGTAGTTGTTACTGATAAGAGCCTAAAATGTGGTGTCATTAGCAAACTTGATGTAACTGCAGCTATCAGGCATCATCACAGTGGGTAGAGGGCATCTGCAGCAGAGGGTTACGAAATCAGTTTTGTTTTCTGTCCCATGATGCATATTATTAAGAGACTGATTTATTTTTTTATTTTTTTACCAGTGGTTTAGTGGTGTAGACTACTTACTTTACTACAGCTACTTTGAAATATGGCTTCATAACACGTTCATAATTTTTATTTTTCACATAGGTCAATTGCAGCATCCAAAGGTCTAATATTTCCTAATTTCCACGTGGTGTTTATCAGTCAGCTCATTCAAAGTAAAGGCCCTTTTACACCATGAAAGATAACTATAATGATAAAGGGCTGCCAACTCTCATGCATTTAACGTGAGACTCATGCAATTAATTTTCTCACGGCACCCACATTTATGCTGTAATTGCTACATTTTGAGAGGTGTTTAACGAATGTTGCTGATTGATTCTTACTGATTTCTTAAGGTTTGTTGTTAATCCACAATAGCTTCTTTGCACGTTCCTCCCTAACTTTAGTGTTCATGCAGAGGTGCGTCTGAACGGGACGAGTGTTTCTGTGCAAATCTCCTTGATCTTTGTCAAGCTTTAGCTTTAGCTTTATATAAGCAGTGAATCTTTATATCCTTATAGGCTGAGTTGTAGTTGTTACTGATAAGAGCCTAAAATGTGGTGTCATTAGCAAACTTGATGTAACTGCAGCTATCAGGCATCATCACAGTGGGTAGAGGGCATCTGCAGCAGAGGGTTACGAAATCAGTTTTGTTTTCTGTCCCATGATGCATATTATTAAGAGACTGATTTATTTTTTTATTTTTTTACCAGTGGTTTAGTGGTGTAGACTACTTACTTTACTACAGCTACTTTGAAATATGGCTTCATAACACGTTCATAATTTTTATTTTTCACATAGGTCAATTGCAGCATCCAAAGGTCTAATATTTCCTAATTTCCACGTGGTGTTTATCAGTCAGCTCATTCAAAGTAAAGGCCCTTTTACACCATGAAAGATAACTATAATGATAAAGGGCTGCCAACTCTCATGCATTTAACGTGAGACTCATGCAATTAATTTTCTCACGGCACACGTTCATTTTCTCACGCAGTGAAAAAAACAAAACAAAACATTGTGGCGCAAAGAGTAGGCTAACAACCGCCGACAGACAAGACAAATGCACCATGTATTTTACAAAATTTTATGATTAAAACACAGTATCAGTCAGCTGACATTTTGTTAACATTCTCATTATGTTCCCATTAAAATGTTAATTCTGAATGGTCTCTGAACATTCAAAACGGCATTTTTTTAATGGTTTAAAACGTTTTTTATTTTGCTTTCACACCTGTAGATCGATTGCTTTGTTCCGAAACAGGGATTAAAATTATTACAATGTTGCTTTTTATTCTCGGTTCGCTTTCACAGGCAAAGTTTCTAAACGGACTAAATTTGTTAATACCAGTCACGCGCGAGTAAACTGTTCTCTCATTGGTCAAAATTCCACGATTTATTTTCCGGGATTATTTCACTTAGCTGTCACGCATGTCATTGATTTTTGAATGGCAAAGACGTGCTCACCCACAGACATTCACAGGTTAATTTTGAGGTATTAGCAAAACAACAAAGCTAATGCTTTTCACATAACTTGGGTACTTACCCATCAGAAACTGTGATATAGCCTGGTTCGTTGGTCCGTTGGATCGGATTGCTTTCTCACTACAACCGAACCGCTCCAGAGTTCGTTTTCAATCGAGCCGAGACCACCTCGTTCAGACGATCTCGGACCGATTGTTTTGGCGCAGATCCGAGCGCGATTGCCGTGTTCACATATGCCCAAACGAACCGAGCTAAGGGGGGAAACGCGCCAGGTTCCGAAACAACAGGCCAGGTGTGAAAGCACCCTATTTATTTTTTTGATTATGCAAACTTTATGGAAACATTCCATTTTATAAATTTGCAAACACTATGGGAACGTTACTTTTGAATGTTCTCTGAACATTCTGAAACTAATAGTAACATAAAAAAAAAAAAACCTTAGATGAACATCCAACTAAAGCAAAAGTAACATGTTCCATAAACATTTCTGTGCTAATATTTTGTAATAATGACCAACTGGTATTTTTTTCCTACATTTTGTCCCATATATCATTAGTTAAACTGATTACATTGTTAACCAATATCTTTATAGTTTTGTATTTGTACCAGAAATCATATTTTATTTATTATCTTGTTATTTGTTATTTATTTTGTTGCTTTTTAGGGAAAACCCTTCAATAAGAATTCGCGACTGTGAGAGCATAAAAATCCTTTAGGAAATTGCCATCAAATGCAGGTAAAATTTTTGATACACTGTGGTTTTATTCAGAATAAGGTTCAAACAGAAATCAGCAGAACAAAATGAGCTTTTGCATATTTAGATTCATGAAAAGTTTCACAAACATATATAATGGTCATTAGCCTGTACTTGAAGAGATTTTCTCTGTTTGGTTTTACAACACACATTATACACAGTCATGCTCCAAACATGAATTTTGCAGTTGCTGTTTTTTACAAGTTGCTTGATAAGGACTATAAACATACTGGATTAGATCCAGGTTTATCATTTAGGGACCAGTTTTCTACATATCTAACAATTCAGTTGGGTTTTCTTGTCCTGATCGTCCTTTTGCATCTCCCTTAAGGTCCAGATGATCCTCAGCAAAAGCTGTCTCCAGCACCAGCAGCAGAGACTGTTTAAGCTTCTTCTTATACTCATCACACATGGATAATGGGGTTCAGACAGCTGTTTAGATAAACCAGGTAGGTACTGACAGTCGTTGCTGTCCCAATTACTTGTCGATCACTGGCACTCCAGTTATTTTCTACTGCAGTTATTATACAAAAATGTATAGCATGGTATGGAAACCAACATATGAAAAAAGCCAGAGTTACAGTTATAATAACTCTGTACGACCTGAGCTGCTTTCCCATTTTGAGGCGTTTGATTCGTACTCCAATAGCTATGTATGAAGATGCAATGATCAGAAAGGGGATGAGGAAGCCCACTAT